TATATATATATATATATATATATATATATATATATATATATATCGATCGATTATCTGTTTAAAGAGAGTTTCAACTTTTTTGCAAAAGCAATTTCGCCTGTTACAGAAGGAGCAATGTACTGCAACACGTGGACGCGGATAAAGCAAATTCGACGTTCATTTCGCTTTCTTCGATACATACTTCCAGGTATGCGTGTAAGTCCCGTGCGATCGAAGATTCATGAGCCATCGAGAATTCGAAACCGATTCAGAACTGGTTGTTTGGCCGGTGGAATGTAGCTTTTAACAGCGACCGGCCGGCCGGCAGAAGGGTGCAAGAGGGTGCAGGCGGATCGGTGCGTTTAGAAGTGGACGCACACCTGTGCGTCCATCCGTTCCTCATTAAATTTCAATCGGAGGCCTGATTTATTCCTTTCGTGCCTGCAGTTCGCGCTTCCATCACTCTCCAACCTTTCCAGTTCTCTGCAAGGGAACATCTAGAATCAATGGAACAACGTTCTCTGCATCCTTTCCAACAGAATAATGAAATGTATTGTCTTTCACGATTATTCGTTGCAGTCAGTAGCAAATTGTTTGCACAATTTTATAATTTCATAAGACACTCTCCTCTGAATGTTTTATATTTATATTTTTTGCACAGTGTAGAATTCTTAGCTTCCTTCTTTCAATGCTGCAACTTCTCTCAATCGCGAGTCCTTCCATAATGATCTTAATAATAGATCTACAAGTAAGAAGAATCAAAATACAAAAATAATAAAGTTCCACTTCGAAATATTTATTGGAGACGTTCGTTCTATTAACATTCACAATGTAACAAATCCGTTGTGGGACGAGTGGATACGTAGTTTATGCGGTTATCATTTGTGATCTGCAACGCAGAACAACGTGCGAATACAATATTTGACGTTGCACGCTCGTAAACACAGCATAAAATTATACATAAGGCAGGTCGAGAGATTTAAGCTTTAAGTAAGTCAGATTTAAACCTGCTCGTACATTCGTACGCCGGCCGTTCCATCAATAATTCCTAACATTGTCGCGTGCAAGCAATATCTATCTTCAAGCCACCTGCCTGAGTCAAGCAAACACAATGATGGTTAATCAGCCAGAACGATCGAACTCTTCGATTGAACTCGTTCCACTGGTAGGCGTAGTGAGCGAGATAATAACTTGCTATTGCTACCTACATACGTACCCGTGGGTGTAATTCTCGTAGGGTTCGTTATTAACTATCTTTACTAACTCGTATCGTACTTGCCTTCTCCCTCTGAAGGAGTAACTTGTTATTTCCTTCTTTAATCTTAATTCCTCCTGTCAAGCATACACTGACAACTCGGTTACGATTACAACGATGCAAATAAGTAGTAACAATATCGGATGAATATCGAAAGATAGAGTTCGTTAAATATAAAAAAAAAATATTGCGAATACTCTAAATGGACAAAAGCGATTTTAATTCGCGACATTAACACGAAAGAAAAGAAGTAGTTAATTCATGGATGCATTGAAAGTAGCTGTTAGTATATTTGAATGCGGTCGCGTCGGTCCAGGAGAAAGTGACGAGGATCGTGAGTGCAATTATACTGGCGTGTCTGAGAGCACCAAGGAGATAAAAATGGTTTTACACTCACTGTCTGCTTCTCATACATTACTTGTCACTCATGATTCAAATAAATCATCCACCGGCTGTCAATTTCAAATAACTGAAGACAATAACTATAAAAATTTTATGAACTTCTCAGACCTGACTTAAACAAGTATGCTCAAGAATTATAATCTGAATCTACGGCTTTCCCTCGCTCTTAGAACTTTTCAAATCTGGCTATGTTGCAAGAACAAGATATAATACTAATCTTGCACATTTATAAACTTTACGGTCTCTTCACGGAAGGAGACAGCAGCCGGTCTTTGCAATAGTTGCAAGATTTTACTTTCCTCGGTGGAATTTCAAGACGGTCACGAATTCTGAAATCGGCGAAGTGATTGCGTCCCTGTTCCTCGTGCACGAAGGGACTTAACAGGCTGCTCATTGGCCAAGCTGCCGTCGGCTGGACAGCAACTCACTCGTCGTCCACTCCGGCACACCTGTTCACTCAGGTATGCGATCTTCTTTCTCGCTTTTTCTCCCTCTCCTTTTCCCACCTTTCTTCTTCTCCCTCTTTCTTCTCGTTACTCGTCTCTTCTCTGCCTGTTTCTTTTGTCTCCTTTTTGCTCTTCATCACAACAGACCAACGACGGTGGTTTACCGTTGTCTTGCTGATCCTGAACCCACCAAGAGGCCGGTTCACTCGCGATCTGTAAACTTCTGCTGATATAAGTCACCCTGTAATTTTCTGCTCCGTAATTATCCTCTCTCTTCCACTCTCTCTCTCTCTCTCTCTCTGTTCATGCAGATATGTATATATTGCTTTTGTTGTAATCTGTAATTGATTAATCCTGCAAGGAATCTTTCGGTTCCTTGCTGCTGTAATAAAAAAATAGCTCTGTTTTTCAATAATTTCAATAATTAATAAACGATCGGGTTTGAAATCAATTCAGATCAAATCAGCTCCTCAAACGTGTCAACAACTCCTCAGTTTATAGTCAACTTCTATTCAATAGAATATTCCGCGTTAATAAATAAGATCTAGAATATGAGAATTTTGAAATTAAGAAGTGAAGCGAAATTAAAAAGAAAAATTCGAGGATCGTAGTAAAATTAGTTACAGTTGGTCTGTACACTGACTTCTATTTATTTAACGATATTAGTGCAACTCTCCTATGTCCGTGTGTCATCAGCTGATAGAAGAGAATATCTTTCTTGTAACATTTCCCCGTTCGTTGCTAGTTTACGGTGCCTTCAAGTTTCCATTTATTACCACATTGCGAACAGGTCCATAATCCTGTCAGTTTCAGATTGTTTCGGACCGATTGGAACAAGTGGTCGGTTCAGTCTATATGGGGGCTCTTTCCAAGACTCGGCTCTCGACCTGGTCGACCAGAAGAACCAGACAATAGGACGCCAACATCCAACCCCCCACCCCCTCTCTCCTGTGCACTTATCTTTTTCTCACCGTGTCGTTTCTATAAATGGCGAAGAATAATAACGATAAAGAAAGTCGTCCGTTAGCTTTTAATTGGATTCCATTAGTTCTTTTCTTTTTATATTCTACATTTTCTTGCATCGATGATAGTGTTGAAAAAAAATAGTTGTCGTTTGAGGTAATCTTGATGCAATCTGAAGAAGTTGATATTTTTTATTCTCTGCAAGATCAATTTTTATAGAACATTTACTAATTGTGTATAATTGGCAGAGAATTTCATTCGAAGCATACTTTATATAATTTGTTTATCTATCATAATGCAGAGATGCATGTATGGAAGTTGGTTTAATAGACAGATTTCAAGAAGTACCAGACTAGCGCTAGTTATGACACTGTACGTATCTTCTATGCAAATGTAATTTCCTGTTGAAATTGCTCGAGTCCAATTTGTTGTAGATATACAGGAATGAAACGAATGCCTGCAAGCGATCTTTCAGCTTTAACACGTTCCAAGGACGTAGTGTTAGATTTTTTTAAGTGTCACGTGAACTGAGCTTGATGCGTGATTTATCAACTTCTTTGCTTTCTGGAATATTTCATTTGTAGAGAATATCATTGAATTATATTACTGTAATGCTTCAATATTTTCTAAATTATAAGGAATAATATATTTTATTAGATATATTGAATTATATTACTGTAATGCTTCAATACTTTCTAAATCATAAGGAATAATTATATTTTATTAGATATACATGATAATTAAAAAAATTAAATATTATGTTGGAGCATCGATTATCTGAATAAGTAATAAATAATAAGTCAACTACTGATTAGATGAATGAAGATTTTCAAATAAAAAGGTAATGTAAATGAAATACTAAACGATATATTACACAAGTCAAAAATACAAATGTTTTTCGATGCATCATTCCGATATATTAATTAAAATAATCCAAGTTCTATTGTAATATTATTTCTTCTATTCTACTAACTCCATTTACATTTAAAAGCTCTCCTTCCCGAGATCTCTGCACTCCTAGAACTGTGATTCTAAAATGAACTTCTAAGATTGATCCTCCGCAGCTTCGTACAAAATTTGTTTTAACACCCTCGTTCCATCTTCAAGTTTACAGTATCTATAGATTGGACACTGTTCGGTAGGAACAGTTTGCGTGTATTTTTGTAATAGTATCGTTTTACTTTCCTCATCGTCCGTCACATTCCAAATGTTGATAAAGTATATCGTGTATGGGCAAATATCTTTCATTGCGGAAAAGGACCAGGCGCATACATATACCTGAAACAAAACAAATATAGACAAATGTTTCTCTTCTCTTCCCTTCGATATATATTTTATTCTGCATTTATTTATTTAATAGAATTACATCGCTATAATAGCCATAAGCACTAAATATTCTCCACTGCTTTCATTTTGCAATTATTTTATTATAAATTTATGACTGCACTATATATCCGTCATAATAATTCATCGAAAGTAAAAATAAAATTTTCAGTAATTAAAATCTCTATAAATGTGTGTCTTGATGCTTATAGCTAGCAGTGTGTATATCTTCACTTACGTCGGTCTTCAGGATTCGCGCGCAAGAATTCATCGTGTCGAGAATCAATGAACACGTTCTGGCGAGGTGTATATCTTGCGACACCGCACTTTCTTTATAGTTGGTGGTATAGGCGTCGAAGTCGTCTATCAAAAGCACAGAAGGCAAACTGGCGAAGGTGTGCAGCTCGACAAGTCGATCTACGAGGGCCTCATAGTCAGCCAAGTACCTAGGGTATAAATTTCCTCCTGATTGTTTTGCGTTCGATTTCATAATCAAGAGTAAATTCACTCTACACCATACATTTTGCAATTGCTTATTATAGGATGACTCGCAGTTCATTCAAAGTAGTTATGTTCCACTAGAATTTCTTTCTTTCTTTTATTAAATCATATATCTTCTTTATGATATACTATATCATTATTGCGTTATTACAGTTATAATTCACTATTGTATTGTAATTTAAGCAATAAAAATTAATCATGCTCTATAAATTACATTCCTTTTTGAATAAAACTTATTTCTAGAAGATACCAAAGTTGTTAGTGATGTTTTGGGAAATAATAATTTGTTCCTTTGTATCTTGTAACATAAGAGAGAAAATCCAAAGAGAAAACTCTGAAACGTTTAACTATGATTACTCATGATTGCTAAAACCATCTGAATGTACTTATTTGTTGAAGAAATTTGGCATCGTGAACGACTGATACAAGTACAAAATAAATAAGCAACTCAAAGATCCCATGAGCCTAAATTGATGTTGGTAATAAACGTAAAATGGCGTTCTGTATATTGCTTCTGTATAAACCTGTTTAAAAATCAATAAGCTTGGTCTCCAGAAGTGAAAGCGTTGTCGTATTTGTAAATCTAAGAAGCACACAATTCTAAATTTATACACGAACAAAGACTAAATTATCCAAATTATTCGATAGTTAATGATATCGTTATGTGTTTTAATTATTACCTATAATAATTAAAAACATAATAATTGTTTTTAAAAAAACCATAATAATGTGTTTTAATTATTACCTATAATAATTTAAAAACATAATTATTACCTTATAATTATTACCATAATTAAATAAATATTACCATAATTAAATTATTACATATAACTAAAAACATTATTATTACCATAATAATTAAAAACATTATTATTATAATAATTAAAAACATAATAATTAAATAAGCGAAGACAGATACCGTGTCATCAATTATTGTTAACGATTATTTGATAAAAATTATTGTTACTGATATTATCTTTTGCAACCATCATTGTGTAATTATAATCGTAAATAAAGAATCAAGGAAAAGGAAAAGAAACGAAAGCTAAGATAGAGAAATGAATTGCAACTTACATTATGCGAAAAGTACAAAGCAAAGTGAATAGAGATAGAGAGGAGAACTTTGTTTCGCCAGCGACAGACGAAATCTCAGCTTTGAAAAACAAATCGTGAAAGAAGGAGCCAATTGATTTGCGACGACTCCGACTTGATCGTTTATTTTACTTCTGCTTCTGGTGGCCACGATGAATCGCGTATAAAAATTGCGAACTCCGTTCTTTATCCAACGGGAAGAATAAACCTTTCCAATCTGACTTGTTTTATCCACAAAGTACTTCACTTTATACGCGTAATGAAAATTAAGTGTCTTATCTTCGACATTTTGTTGGTCTTCAATATGATCAACTAACTAAGACACATATAGCTAAGAATTGTTTCGTTAATTTCTT